AGCTTGTTACGAGGTATTACTCATCAATCTCTTGTTTTATCTTTCTCTTCTTTTATTTTACATTGTTATAATAAAAATAATCATGTAGATATTTTAGAGTCAATTGTTTAATTTAAATTTCAAGCATGTAAATAGTCATCAATAAAAGGGGATTTAATATTTATATTATTATTGTTTATAATGTTAACTTCGTCATAGGGTACCGATTAAGGGCGTTGTATGGGTGCTTAATACCTTTCCTACACGTAACCGACCCCTGAACCCAATTTTGGTTATCAAGGCCATTATTGGACTTTTGAAAACCTTTTCTTTTTCCAATGTTTTGAGTAAAACATTGGTGGCGACTCCATGAACCTATTTTCAAAACCATTAATTAAGGATTAGTCTGGTGTCCGGGCATTCCTTAATTGATGAGATTTTCAAAAGGATGTCTAAACCATTAGTCGCGAGATCGGAAATTTTCGGGTTGCGACACTAGTCAACTTTGACCTCAATTTTAACATCACTAAACAACTTAACTGTCAAGGATTTGTTGACCCTCATAACTATGTATATATATAAAAATTATAGTTGCTACATAGAATTAAAACACACATTGTTACATGATTTATATTTGAGTTTTTTTCCCTGCATTGCCACACCATAAAACCATTGTGCCAATAGAGCACCACTGTAAGCACCTTTTTTTCTCTTCCTCGGGTGCTCCCTTCACTCTTAGATAAATATAGCTTTTTGGTTTGCTATTTCCTTCATTGTTTGGTCAATACTAGAAAATTGGTGTGAAAAAAATGTTGGGTTTTCTTTGTTTGTGACTTGCACCATGTAAGCATTTTGTGGAATTGTATGATCTTTTGCTTTAGTTTTATCTTACAAATCTAACATTAGTTTTGATGAAAATTTGGAAGTAATACCAAAATCCATCTAGCATGTATAGGAAGTTCTACGTGTTAAAAAGGTGGTTGGATGGAAGCATACACTACAAAAAAATGTGTGATTTGTGGCGGCTATTTTGACAGTTTCTAGCGGTTAAAAACTGCCATAAATCGTATTACTAGCGTCATTAATAACTGTCATATCCATGGTCGCCAAAAATGGTTTGTGGCATATATTTTGTAAATGCTAGTCTTGGGTGTCAGAAAATTTAATCACTTTGTGGGGGTTTAAAACCGCCACAAAATTCATCTAAATTTTGCTTGATTCAAAACCACCAGAAATTGCGTTATTTTTTTAAAATCCCAAGTAGCAAGTGAAATGGCACCTCCCAAAAGAAGGAGAGCTTCAATCCCATTTCCTTGACAAATTGCTCTGTTTTGACTAGATAACATGTTCAATCCTCATCCAAGTCTTTCAAAGAACATCAAATTGCACCAGCTTAAATCTAGAAACAACCTACCTATGTTGTAGTCCTCGTATCCACGCAAATATGGAAGCAATACTGTTCGTACTAGTTTCTTGTCCCTTTTGATGAAACTAAAAATGTCGAGTTATAGTTCCATGAGCTGCCTCAGCTTCCAATGTCTTGCCATAAGAAGATAGCTGCAAAATTTTGGATGTAAAATGAAGTACGAGTTCCAATAACCAAAATAGAGATAACAATGTTGATGAAAAATTACTGAAATATTAATATTCTAATTCGCACCAGCACAAGTCATGAGACCCAACGAGCCAAATCCTGCACACAACTCAATAAAATTTGTTTAAAAGATGCCTTCTAGCATGTTAAAAGTATTCATTTCACCAAATTGCAAATGCTCTCTTTCACATTCCATAAAGACATGAACAAAAAAATGAAATTAACAATCAAACCAGAATGGATACATATTTTCAGGATTAGTTAAATATAAAACAAGGGATAGTACGTTTTGTTTGTTTGCAAAACTTGGCATTTTATAACAACTTTTGGTAATTGCTTATTTTTCCAGTAAATATTTTCCTTAAGATCATTTTCTCTTATGTAGTTATAAAGGTTTAGTAGACCAGCGATAACCAAAATTTTGGTATCTATAATCTTAGCAAAGTTAATCTATTTGATAATATTATTTGGTAATAATTAGAAGATCCGATCAAATCAAATTATGATGTTATCATCTCTACATTTAGGGTCCTCAATAATGAAAAGAGCTCGCATAGCCTGTACTTATGATCCCAATTTCAAGTATCTTGATTTATATGATAATTAAGCCAAATGACTAGGACTACTGGACTAGGACACTATTTTTTTTGTATTGAAGAAACTTATGACCACCTTTGAATAATTAGAAGTGTGAGGCAAGGCTCTGGTTAATCAACCAATTACTGCTTGTTGACATCAAACATACTATCATCATACTTACCAATTAACATGTTCACATTTTGGACATAAAAGATAAGTTCTCCGGTCTATATTACCTTGAGCAAGTAATTCACTTTGGACATCATCATCATAATTCTTGCAAGCCCAAACATATCCACCTTCACTCTTGAGTGCATACGCCACCATGTCATCAATTAGCCTATGGTCATACCTGAAGTCACTTAAAATTGTCAACCATCTTTGTATATGTAACGTGTCAAATCAAATTGATTCACAAACATCAAAATAAACCATATTGAGTGTTCTTCGAACTTTTTCTTCCACCTTTCTTCATACACCTCCTGAAATATGTCCTTAAATTTGTAATAATGAAAAACAACAAATCATCTCCAATAGCAACAAAACAAATAAAAAAAGGCTGTCTGAATTACAGAGAAGTTTATCATACAAAGGTAAAATCAACAAACATTAAAAGATGAGCTTTATTTTATTGGATATCATTCTTATTCCTAAATTGTATCAGGGATGATTGCAAGAACCTAGAGGGAAGATATAGTACCTAACTGAATATCTCAAAATCCTATGAAATTTGAGAGTCCTTGTTCTCCCTACCCAATCCCTACTTGAACTCTAAAACCTCTCCACTATTGTTTCCCTCCAATTCTTAATGTTGTTGACTGTCTAACTACTAACCAACTATTGATACAATCAGAACTATAATGGAGTCTGCTCTAACTAACTGCTGATACTAGGGACAAGCACCAGACAAAAATGAAAAAAAAAATCCAGCCATATAATAATAATCACCTGCCATCGTATTTCTTTAGAATTGTGTTTTTGGTGCTCAAGTAATGTGGCCATTTATTTGCAAATGCCAGTAACATTGAAGATTCCGCAAATGCTTGAATAGACTGACACGTTATGAAAGCTATTGTTAAAATATAATCAAAACAACAAAAATAATTTCTTTGAATATTTAATTAAAACATACTACAGACATTTCACATGGAAAAAAATGAAATGAAGAAAACCTCATCAACATTATACATAGCAAGTGCTACACGAAATCGAGTTCTTGAACGGGAAATTGAGGATCGCGTGGAAAATCGTATTGGTTCCAAGATTGATGCAAGATTGATGGAAATGGCAACGTCGATGCAGAAAAATCTTCAAGAGTCATTGACGCAGTCATTGACCCTATCGATGACGCAGAAAATACAAGAGCTTCTTCATAACAACAATTTGGCCGCACATCATTCAGCAGCGGGGGCCAACCCAAGTCGAGCCTATTCTTGTGGAACACGCCTCGCTAGAATCGACTTCCCTCGTTTTTCAGGTGAGGACGTTAAACAGTGGTTAATTCAATGTGATACATTTTTTTCTATTGATAATACTCCTGACGAGTTTAAGGTAAGATTGGCAGCAGTACATTTTGAGGGGAAAGCTCTTCAATGGCATAATTCTTATGTGAAACCAGTGGGATTGCAAAACTTACCTCCTTGGTCAGAATACACCAGAATTTTGATTGAAAGATTTGGAGAAGTATGTGATGATCCTATGGCAGAATTGATGCAATTAAGGCAAAAAGGGTCGGTAGTGGAGTATCATGAAGCCTTTGATGCTATTGTATCTCGTTTGGATCTGGATGATGAGCACAGGCTGAGTTGTTTTTTGGGGGGACTTAAACAAGAAGTTCAAATGCTTGTTAGGATGTTTCAGCCAAATTCGTTGAGACGCGCTTTCACATTAGTGAAAATGCAGGAGGCAACAACTGTAAATGGATCTGTGGTTCAATCTTGGACTTCCAAGCCACCATTATTGCCCACACCCTCTAAGACTACCTCCAAGATTCAAGATACCTTCAAATCAAAACAACAGACCTCTAAAACTTTAACCCTTGCTTATATGAGTGAAAGAAGGGAAAAAGGGTTATGTTATTTCTGTGATGAACCCTTTACTCCCGAGCATGGATTAAGCCATAAAAAATTGCAGTTGCATTTAATGGAAGTGGATGAGTTACAAGATAATGAGGAGGAAGAAGTGCTGCTTGAAAACTCCATGGGACCCAATTCTACAGATCCCCAAATTTCTGTACATGCCTTCCCCGAAATTGCCAATTTCCAAACCATGTGTGTGACCGGTTACCACAAAAAGAAGCCTCTCCATGTTCTGAATGACAGTGACAGTACCCACAATTTTTTGGACATTGAGGTAGTTAAAAGGTTGGGTTGCAGGATTGATGCTTTTGATTCACTGGTTGTTGTAGATGGCACAAAGATAAATGTTTCTGTAGTAGTTAAAAGATTTCAGTGGACAATCCAACAAACCAAATTCACTTATGATATGTTGCTCATTCCATTAGGGTGCTGTGATTTGGTCTTAGGGGTTGAATGGCTAGTGTCGTTGGGTGATATTGTATGGAATTTTAATAAGTTGCAGATGGAGTGTTATGTTCCGGGAAAGAGACATGTATTGAGAGGAGCCTCTTCGGGACTGAAAACAGTTAAGAAACAACAATTGGGGAAAGCTATGGCAACTGGTGTTCATTTGTCATTTTTACAGGTGTGTGATGGCCAAGGTGGTCTTCTAAATTCTCTTACTACTCAGGCTGTTGCTGCTGAAGTCCCTCCTGATGTTGCCAAATTATTGGAGGAGTTTGCTGACCTATTTCAAGAACCTAGTGAGTTACCTCCTAGTAGACCGGGCCATGACCATCAGATTCCTCTAGTCCTAGGAGTTGGGCCAATTAGTAAGAGACCCTACAGGTATGCTAAACAGCAGAAAGATGAGATTGACAAATTGGTTCAGGAATACTTGGCAGCTGGTATAATTCAGAACAGTAGCAGTCCTTTTACGAGCCCGGTGGTTTTGGTGGGGAAGAAAGATGGGTCATGGAGGCTATGTGTGGATTACAGGGATCTTAACAAACATACCGTTAAGAACAAGTTTCCAATTCCCTTAGTGGATGATCTGTTGGATGAATTGGCTGGTTCTAGCATATTTTCGAAAATTGATCTGCGGTCAGGATATAATCAAGTGAGAATGGAACCGACTGAGGTGTATAAGACTGCTTTTAAGACTCATGCGGGGCATTTTGAATATTTAGTGATGCCCTTTGGCCTCACTAATGCACCAGCAACATTCCAAGGGCTTATAAACTCAATTTTTAAGGAGTTTTTGAGGAAGTTCCTGCTTGTGTTCTTTGATGAGATTTTAATCTACAGTTGTTCATTGGAAGATCACTTGATACATTTACGAAAGGTTTTGGTAACTACGAGGAAGAATTCATTGTTTGCTAAGAGAAGTAAGTGTTATTTTGGCGTTTCTCGGGTGGAGTACCTTGGTCACTTCATTTCTAAGGAGGGGATATCAACCGATCCAGCTAAGGTGATAGCAGTACAGTAGTGGCCATTACCACAGAATCTGAAATAGTTGAGGGGATTCCTAGGATTAACCGGTTATTATAGAAGATTTTTAAAAGGGTATGGGGGAATTGCTAAACCCTTAACAGAGATGCTTAAAAAGGACAGTTTCCTTTGGTCGGATACTACAAAACTGGCTTTTCAACAATTAAAAAGAAAGCTTACCGAGGCCCCGGTTTTGGCTTTACCTGACTTCTCTAAGCTTTTCATAGTAGAAGTGGATGCTTCGGGTTTGGGAATTGGAGTTGTCTTGATGCAAGACCAGCACCCTATAGCTTATATAAGTAGACATTTGAATCAACAACAACAATCTTATTCTACTTATGAAAAGGAGCTGTTAGCAGTGGTTTTGGCTGTCCAAAAATGGAGACATTATTTGCTGAATACCATTTTATAATTAGGACTGATCATAGAAGCTTGAAGTTTATTTTGGATCAGAAATGGACTACTGCATTTCAGCAAAAGTGGTTAGTGAAATTAATGGATTTTGATTTCTCAATTGAATATAAACAGGGACATGAGAACGTAGCTGCTGACGCGTTGTCTCGAGTTGAACCTGTTGCTTGTGAAGCTTTAAATGTTCATCAAGTGGTTTCGGAATGGGTGCTCAAGATTAAAGCCTCTTGGAATTCAGATCCTGCAGTTCAGAAATTGATTTCTGAATTACAAGATACCTCTGTATCTCATCGACATTATTCTTGGAAGGATGGTGAATTGAGGAGGAAGAGGAGATTAGTTGTGGGTAAAGATGATGCTCTAAGACAAGATATTCTTCTTTATTTTCATGCTTCTGCAGTAGCTGGTCATTCAGGCAGAAATGCAACTCTACAAAGACTTAAATCTGCTGTCTATTGGAAGGGAATGAGTAAGGATGTTAGGAGCTTTGTTCAAAAATGCGGTGTATGCCAAAAGTGCAACTATGAGACTAAGGCTTCCCCTGGGTTATTACAGCCATTGCCTATTCCAGATCGGGTTTGGCAGCACATCACCATGGACTTTGTGGAGGGCTTACCCAATTCCTTTGGTAAGCAAGTGATTTTTGTGGTGGTAGACAGGTTGAGCAAGACAGCTCATTTTATGGCTCTTTCTCACCCTTATTATGCTGCTGATGTTGCTCAATCATTCCTTGATCATGTCTTCAAGTTGCATGGATTTCCAGATTCTATCACTAGTGATAGGGACTCTATCTTCATTAGTCAGTTTTGGCAAGATCTTATGGCTTTTCAGGGTGTACAGGTACAACTTTCCACAACTTACCACCCACAGACGGATGGCCAAACAGAAACTGTTAATAGGTGTTTGGAAACCTATTTGAGGTGTATGTGTGCAGACTCTCCTTCTCATTGGTCAAAGTGGTTTCCCTTAGTTAAATGGTGGTATAATACCACATTCCACAGCTCCATTCAAGCTACTCCTTATGAGGTAGTATATGGCCAGCTTCCACCTGTGGATCTGCCTTATTTAGCAGGAGCTTCTAAAGTTGAGTTAGTGGATAAGAGTCTTTTGAGGAGGGAGGAAATGCTGAAACTCATCAAGTTTCACATGAAGAGAGCCCAAGATAGAATGAAACAGATGGCAGATAGACATAGATCAGAGAGACAGTTCAACATTGGGGATATGGTCTATGTCAAATTTCATCCTTACAGACAAATTTCTGTAGCTGCCAGAAGCAACGTGAAACTGTCACCCAAGTTCTATGGGCCATTTCAGGTGTTAGAGCAGATTGGTGCAGTGGCCTACAAGATAAAGCTGCCTGTGGGTTCAAGCATACATGATGTGTTCCATGTATCTCAACTGAAGAAGCTGTGGGTGATGCAGTAACTTCTGCAAGTCTTCCAAGCTCTGTAGAAGGAGATCCTCTAATAAAGGAACCAGAAGCCATTTTGGATCGCATGACAGTCAAGAAAAGAGGTCGAGCTGTTACCAAAGTGTTGGTGAAGTGGAAGCATAGCTTGCCAGAGGATGCAACCTGGGAATTCTTTTTTGATTTGAAGCAGAAATACCCTCACTTCCAGCCTTGAGGAAAAGTCTGAAGCTAAGGAGGGGAAATTGTTACGGGATATTTTGTAAATAAGCAATAGAAGAGTATTTCAATTGTAATTAGTTAATGAATAGTTGGAATAACGAACTTCCTCAATTGGGAAGCTGTTAGACAATTATAAGAATAAATAGCAGAGGACCCTCTTGAGGAAGGCATCAGTATTTGGTAATAACACTCTTGAACCTCCAATTCTCTCTAATAAGATTCGGATGCTTTTCTTCTTTGGCCTCCCTAATCTGTCTCTGTAATTCTTCGATTCCCATCCTAGAATTACCATAACACAAAATCAATGTTTCAAACACAAAATACACGTAGATTCATCATTTGAATGCAAAATTATCGCAACCAACGAGCGAATCGAAGTAATAATCACAACGTTGCCTCCAAATATGCCCAAGCTCGAATGCACAACTTTATCAAACCAAAATCGTCGAGTCTGCCTCTCTCCTCAACGAATCTATGTAAAGTCTATGTGAATTGAATTCTCAGGCTCATGTAGTAGCATGGAGAATTTTGAGTGAAGGAAATGCTTTAACGAAGGAGAAGTTCGAACGTGCCCTTTAATATTTTGAATTTAACTTAACATTTTTATTTTTATTTTTATTCTTTTAACAATAATACAAATATTTTAATTGAATTGAACACGTAGTTGCATGAAAAGCTGGCAACAACATAAATAAGTATTTTAAATATTGTGCAGTTGTAAACCACCAAAAATTTTAATTTTTTGTGACGTTATAATAACCGCTATTAATTACATACTTATTTATGTTGTTTCTAGCTTCTTGCCATTATTTACAAATGTATGGTGAGAAAAGAAAATATTTATATAGAAAGTACATCATGAAATTCCACAAAACAGTCTCAAATCAATATATTCTATAAACATAACATTCATCATTCAAACATGTTGAACATCATTTTATTCCATCATCTCATCACAATCCACATATGTACATATAAACAAAATTGCACATATACACCGTGTCACACATCCAGTACTAGATCACGTTCACACCCTTGCTGACGCATCACACATCCAACATCATGTCATGCACCTGACTGTGCTAATGCATTCCATTACCGACACCGATATCATGCATACGACTATACTTGGCGCATCACATATATAGTACCATATCACGCATACGACCATACCCCCACCAACACATAAATAGCATTGTATCACGTGCACGCCCTTATGGCCTGGTGTCACGCATACGACTGTGCCCAATCATCACATCACAGTTCACATTTCAATTCCACATCACATGCACAATATAGATAATTCCACACAAAACAATAGTTCACATACCCCTCACGCAATTCACCATGAATTCACATCACATCATCATACATATATGAATTAACTCTACAACATAATATCATACAACTTTAAACCACTTTTCAATCCACATGATAACACCTTAGAACATAAAAAAATATGCATCTCCCTTCAAAAACTATCAAAGAAAATAATACAAAGAGAGTTATACTCATCCAAATGATCTCAAACCTATCTCAAAAGAAATATAAGAGAATAATATACAAATCTTATGAAGACATGAAATTCTAAAAAAATCATCTACTTAGCTAAAAATTTCAAAATTCGAAACATATATAATCCACACTGATAGTTTGACCTCTGTTCACTAAAACAACCATAAATAGAGTTATAGACATCATTTTTGAGTGATTCCAAATCTATTAGAAATATAACACCCAAAGATACAACTTTTGTGAGAAAAAGAAGCCTAAAAATGTCTTTAAGGTCACCTAGCATGGATGACAACACAAAACTTAATCTTTCACGCACTAGAATGGAGACTGAACTTATAACTCGCATAACTCAATCAATTCTTAACATTTTTACATGATTCTAGAGTCTAAATTATAGCTTCAAGTGTCTAGTTTCTAACCCAATAAACGAAAATTGATTTGGTTAATCATACGGAAAGATATTACAAAAATACTAAGGTACATTCATAAGTAAAATCTTCCAATTACTCGTTAATTCATATAATTAAGGGTGTTCATCAATCTACAAGAACCCTAACTTACAGAGCACATCCCAATAATCCAATTATCAGCTAGATCATCAATTTTACCAAATAATATAACAACCACATTTATAAATCAATATAAAGCCCAATTGAATCATTAATTTTATAGAATCTTAACTCAAATAGTAAAATCCCCAATTTTTCCAAAACCTAATTCACTAGAACTTTTCTACAATTTTGTTTGCTCTCCTAGATCATCATTTTTACAAATTGTTTACATATTCTTACTCCTCAATACATGCAAAATTTAATGGGATCATCCGTTCTTCAAATATAAATAATTATAAAATTACCCATAATCCTACAAGACTCCTCCTCTACCCAATTCCCTTATGTGACATTGCATATAAATTATCCTTTTTCCCTCATACCTAGTTGTGCTAAATAGAATAATCTTGAAGCAATTTGAGATTTTTCCTGAGCACTTCTCAGAGCTCTCTGTTTCTCCTATTTTTCTTTCCTAATCATTCATAATGTAAATGAGGCAGATAAGGTTAATTCTATCTGACCCCTTTCTTAAAATAATTCATTGGGCTGAGTCAACCCAACCCATCTTCCTTCTCTTTCGACCCACTTCTCTTTTCCCTAAAATAATTAAATAAAATAAATACATAACTACATAAAATATTTTTCCTTTATAATAATAATAATATATTTCTGACCAAAAATATAATAATATAATTTCAATATTAAAATATCATATAAAATCAACCTTTTAGATTTTATAATAAAATATATAATTTATCAACTCCTAAATTACCTGATAGAAGACCTCCTAGCATTAATGGAAGAAGGATGATCAATGAGAGCACTCCTAGACTCCACGGATCTTAGTTCTTTAATGGCCTAGCCTTGGATGGTGGTGCTAACCAAAAATGG